CATTTCACAAAAATTATACAAACCCACTAATTTAATAAAAAATTTCACATTTAGTTGCGGGCAATTCGTGGAAAATACGATAATTCCAGATGATAAAGTTTTCGTCAACACATTTAATATAGTCGGTGATAAATTGCAAGAGCAATTGAGGATAATTATATCATCGCCAATCGAAGAGAATGAAATCGAGCCTTTCAAAATGGTCAAAAAACTGTATTTAGCATGCATGGATGAAAGTGAGACAACACAATACACCTCAAAATTATAGATTGATTATAAATTACGTATGAAAATTTAAATTCATTTTTTTCTCTGCAAATGCGCCTTTAGGTCAAATTGAAGATCGTGGATTGATGCCTTTAATTGATATGCAGGAGAAAATAGGAGGCTGGCCGATGGTTAAAGGCGACGAATGGGATAAGTCAGAATGGATATGGAAATGCGCTGTCAAAGCTCTACGTAAACTTGGTTTTTCGACAGATTATCTGATTGATTTCTCGGTTGAGACAGACTTGAAGAATTCCACACGTCGAATAATTGATGTGAGATTAATTGATTGACAATAGTTTGAGTTTGTGGAGGTTTTTTTTTGAGGTGTTGGAGATTAGAAGTTAGAAAAGTGATTAAAATAGCTCTTTAGGAAGTGCCAATTACAAGTTTAAGTTTTAACGGTTTTTTCAGATTTAAAAATTAATATACGTACTTAAATATATAAAAATACGCGCGTTTTTTTCTCACTTCAAAGACAATTTCTCAAATAATTTCATAATTGTTGCCATAAGAAGCTCAATAACGATGTTGATTTGTGTAAAAAGATGGCAAGAACATTATAAACCACTTCTAAACTTACCGATTTTCAAAACTTCCAACTCATTGCTTCAAAACTAAACCAATGATTCAAACTATTTAAAATTCTCACACCGCAATCACTTCTTCTCATTCCCAGATCGACCAAACAGACTTCGGACTCGACATAGAATATTTACGAAAAGGCATCAATGATTCAATTGTTCAAGCCTATCTCAATTATCAAATTGACATAGCTGTACTATTTGGTGCCAATCGAGAGCGTGCTGAGAAGGAAGCAATGGACGTAGTTCAATTTGAAATTGAATTGGCAAATATTTCATTAACAAACGATAAGCGTAGAGATGCCGACTCATTTTATAATCCAATTACAGTCAAAGAATTGAATGTGAAACATCCTTACCTTGATTGGGTATGAAAATTTTTAATTCTACGTAAAAAATTGCTACAATCTTCTTTCTTTGTTCTGTAATTGAATTTAGCTGGCGTATTTCAATAATCTTTTACCGCAAGACGCTCAAGTTACGGGTGATGAAGTCATTTTAATATACGTGCCAAGTTTCTTCGATCAATTTGGTGCGGTTATTGAGAAAACACCTAAAAGGTGAGATATTTTTTTTGCAGTAATTGGCTTTGGTATTAATCATAGCAAGCGTAAATTGCTGCTTTAGTGTAAAAACTTTCAAATATGGCTTTAATTCTTCGCATGTTTCAAAATGCGCTTTATCCAATTACCGAAAACTGTATTCCTTACTTGCAATTCCAATTAAAAATCTAATAACACATTACAAATCCATTCCATATTACAGAACCATAGCAAACTACTTAGCATGGAGAATGACTCAATATTCAGTGAAATTCATGACAGCCGCATTACGAAAGCGACAATTAAAGTTTACATCAGCAATAAGCGGTCAAGAAGAGGAGGAACCGCGTTGGAAAGAGTGCATTGATACAACAACATCAAGTCTCAAAGTTGCTCTCAGCTCCATGTACGTCCGTAAATATTTCGATCCAGAGTCAAAGAAAAGTGCACTCGAGATGGTCGACAAGATTAAAAAGGAATTTGAAGAAATTTTAAAGAAAGTTCCATGGATGGGTGAAAAGACACGCGAGGCTGCACTTGTGAAAGTCAAGAAAATGTACACAAATGTTGGATATCCAGATGAATTGATTGACGATCAGAAAATAATCGATTTCTACAAGTCAGTCAATGTCGATGAGGAAAAATACTTAGAATCGATATTGAGCATTAATGTCTTTGATACAGACCGTGACTTCCAAAAACTACGTGAGCTTGTGAATAAAACTGATTGGGTGAAACAATCGAATCAAGCACAAGTCAATGCATTTTATTCGTCACTCGAAAACAGCATAAGTAAGTGAATAATTTGCCCATAAAAAAGTATATTCAATTAAGTTAATTTACACCACATTACGCAGAATTCCCTGCTGGCATTTTACAAGGTCAATTCTATTCAGCCGATCGACCACAGTACATGAATTATGCCGCTATTGGATCAATTATTGGACATGAAATCACACATGGATTTGATGATAGAGTATGGACGAGACATAAAATGCTTGTAATTAATTTTAATTTCAAATTTATCATTAATTTCAGGGTCGTCAATTTGATGCTGATGGTAATTTGGTTGGATGGTGGGACGATGATACGATTAAGGCATACAGTGAGAGAGCTGATTGTATGGTTGAGCAATATGGGAACTTTACTGAGCCTATTACTAAGTTGAATTTGAATGGTGTTAAGACTCAGGGGGAGAATATTGCTGATAATGGTGAGTTAAGTGAGATTTAAGGGGGATTAGGAACCAAAAATGATGATAAAGTAGGTTTTAAGGCATGTCAGGAATCAAAAATTAAGATCCAGTAGATTTCAAGGAATCTCAAGAATCAAAAACGAAGCAATCTCAATTTATCAAAATGACTATTGTGCCTTAGTCAATATATTAATGTTTAATCATATTACAGGTGGAATTAAAGAAGCTTACCTTGCATACCAAAAAAGACAAAAAGAACGCGGAGAAGAACCAAAATTGCCAGGATTAAACTATTCAATCAACCAATTGTTCTGGATTTCAGCAGCACAAACTTGGTGTTCTGTAAGTCAAACAAAAAAAAAATTAATCCAAAATTACCAAATTTTACTTATAAACATTGAGATTCAGCAGCACAATCTTGGTGTTCTGTAAGTCAAACAAAAAAAAAATTAATCTAAAATTACCAAAATTTTACCTTTAAACTTTGAGATTCGAACTCATTCCTACTCATAAATTTCTTGACATTTCAATGTAGAATTAAAATTTGAGTAATTTAATTTGCTAATTTATTAATACATAATAATCAATTCTATTTAGTCCACAAACTATAAATCGATACCCCAAAACTCATCCAGTCATCATTTTACAAATACATTAATCTTTTATAAATCTTAAATCTCTAAAACCCTTAAAATATCCTCAATAATTATCGTCAAACTTTCTCCCAAATCTCCTTTTTCAGGTCTACCGTCCAGCAACATTAAAAGCCTACATAATTGCAGTTAATCACCCGCCAAGTCCATACAGAGTTCTGGGACCATTGAGTAACATGAAAGAATTTTCAAAGGATTTCAACTGTCCCGAAGGTAATTGACCTTCCGATTCAATTTTCAAAACTCATTATTTAAGTATTAAAATGTCATTACAGGCTCACCGATGAATCCCGTACACAAATGCGAAGTCTGGTAGAAGGAAGAAGTTTTGACGAGGGTTGCTTGTGCTCTAAAATTGCATTTTACTCGACTAATTGATGTTTTGAAAAAGATGAAGTTTTTTGATGGAATGGATAAAAATTTGTGAAATAAATGGTTGTGATGGAATTAAAGGGAAATGAGCACTTTTGAACTTTGAAATTTGTGGTCATAATTTTTTGTGATATTTCGTCGGTATGATGCAGATGTGGAACGGAGGAAAGAGGCTGTTGATAAAGAAAGTTTTGCATTTGGTATAAAAAATTGGCAAGCTAGAGAGCCAGATTAAGGCGGCATCTGAGGGTCATGGATTACAATGCATCTGTAAGGTCATCAAAGTAAGTAATATGCAGTTGTGTGACATTGAAATTCCACTCGCCTTTTATGATTTGAATGCTTTTAAGATAAAAGTTGTTTAATTTGCATAGCTGATGCACAAATATATTTTTGGTAGGAAACTTTGGTAACTTTCAACATAATTAATATGCCAAGGCAGGCTTAGGTAGGATAATAAGCCTTTCCTCGGTCATTATGACTTAATGACTTGTGGATCATAGAGTCGTCTGAATCTTGTACAAACCAAAAAAAGTTGATGCTGCAAGTAAATTAGAATTAAAAGTAATAGTATGGTCCAGTGTTGTCCAACCTCTGTGCCGCGGCACATTGGTGTGCCGTAGAATTTTTATGTAAATGACGCGAGCCACGTGTTGTGTGCGACCTTGGTAATGGCTTACCTCTAAGGTGTGCCATGGCTCAAAAAAGTTTGGGCAACACTGGTATGGTCGATAGGATTGCATCACAGTACCTCCTTAATAGTGTCTCTAGTTATACTCGATCCAGTCCTGCTTTTTGACGTCTGTAATCAGGTCATGTCTTCCTTATCGTCCAGTTTGTGACTATCCAGTTAGTTCATCTGACTATAGTCATAACATACACCACTTAAACTCTATAAAGAATCCATTGATCTTCATAAATTGTTAGATACAAAACAAATTACTAATCAGAAAATCCCAAAACTAAAAAACACCGGCAAGAAGTAAACAAATATATAAATCAGCTGATTAAGTCAACAAATCCAGCATTAAAATAAATTAATTTACATCCAGCACATGACTTTAAAGTCCACGAAAAAAAATTATTATTTAATTCGCTATAAAAAAAATTTAAGGTAAGAAGCGTTCATTAACATCTCAAAGTTAATTGGCATATTCGACACAACGACCAAGTCTTGTTTATCATCATCGACAACATCGTTTATCAACAGATTTTTTAGTGTAGATATATAATGAGCAAAACTTGTAAAACCTGATATGATGTCTGTATTTCTGAATATGCAGAATTCATTATAAATATACGCGCGATGGCATTAATGAAAGCTAGTTTTAATAAGTCAGACAGAGGATTAAGAAGTGCCATTGTGTCATTTTGTTAAGAAGAAATTATGCAACGACTTTTTTATTCATTTCTGCTGGTAAGAAGGCTTCTCATTCTTAAAGAAAATTTAAATTAATGCAAATTTTACAGCTGTCAGTGTTACTTTTATGCAGTCATACCAAGGCTGATGATGATGATGATGAAGAAATAACAACAGAAGTGCCTTCCAAATGTGAATACAATGAACAATTAGTTGGTGACGAATGCATTGACTCTTGTTATGTCCACAAATTTTGTGGAGAGAATACAACATGCTCATCAAGCTTCCAGACATACTGTTCATGTAAAAGAGGCTATACTGGAGATCCACTTGGAGGCTGCTTTAAAATGGATGAAAAATGTCCATGCTCACCAAACCCGTGTGGTCCCAACTCTGAGTGTATTGAGTCAGATCCAGAAATCGGACCACATTGTAGATGTAAGAAGGATTTCTATGACTGGCCACCAAATTGTCGTCCTGGATGTAAAAACGATGATGAATGTGGCGCTACAGAAATTTGTAATCGGTTCAATACATGTGAAGAGCTTTGTGATCCAACAAGATGCGGTGACAATTCAGTCTGTCGTGTCGACAAGAAGAAAAAGACAATGCACTGTTCATGTAAAGACGGATTTGTCCCTGAAACCAAAACAGGCTGTAGACCATGGGCAACTAGTGATGATGACATTCCAGCTGACTTCTTTGCTGAAGTTCTTAATGACAAATGTAATGGTGAATGTGGATACAATGCATATTGTGGACCTGAAGATAAATGTGTTTGCACCACTGACTATGTTGGAGATCCATATAAAGAATGTGCTGTAATACAGCCTGCACGTTCCGGTCCATGCAATCCAAATCCATGCGGTGGTCTCTCTGAGTGTACAGTCGTTAATAATGAGGTTGAATGCTTATGTAAAGAAGGCTTCGGAACTCCACCATATTGCTCAAAATGTAATTCAAAATTAGATTGCTTACCAGACCAAATATGCGCTGATGGTGGACGTTGTGTAGCAGATGTTTGTAAGGGATTCTGTGGCGAGAATGTCAGCTGTAATATATTTGAAGGCAAGCTTGAGTGCAACTGTAAAGTTCAACCTGTAAATACTCATAGTATGCCATTTTTGAGTTGTCCTGATGTTGGCTTTATATCAGCTGCTGCTATTGCTGTATTGTCTGGATAGATTAAGCTGTTTGGAGCATAAGTTTATGTGTTTATGATGTTTGATGACATTTTGATTGTGTTTGTGTTCAGGGGTTGGTTTCTCGGATGTAACAATTGAAAGAGTGGAACTTGGGGTTTGAAACTATATGAAGTCGAACCTGCCAGTGCGAGGATAACGTCCTTGTAGACTAGTGGCTTCACAAAAGATTAAAAATCTATAAACTTATATTTTAAAAGAACACGGGTTCGATTCTCACTTGAGATTTGATATCATTTTGATTGAGGAAGTGCTTCATCTTAGTAAAGCTCCACACATAAATGCCTTTCTAGGAAAATTCAATCCTTGATCACTGACACAATATTTAAATCTCAAAATAAATCTACAAACCGAGAAACCAACCCCTTGCATCCATTCATATCATTCATAAATTTATTCAATTTCCTGAACACTTTTTTCAAGTGCAAAATCGTTCTTTAAATTCCATTTTGACTCTGTAGACTCTATAAATAAGAAATAAATTGCACATCTTGTCCTTAATACGATAATTTAGTTGAATGACTTATTCACTTACAGTCACTTACGTACTCGGAACGCGTTTGGATGTCTCAGTAGAACTTTGAATTTTTTTTTTGTGATATTCTAATGGACCAAGCTATTGCTTAAGAATTTACTCTACAGTTAGTATTACTAGGGATGCCACAGTAACAACGTGGTTAAGAAAATAACAGTTGTGCCGCAAAAAAAACTCGTTAAACCTGATGCGTACTGTAAAATAATTGCGTCGCTTTTTTCATAAAAAAAAATTCTTAGTTTGCATGTAAGAAAGCTAGTTGTAAGAAGTCTTACACATGATTAAGAAGTGTTTCTGCGCTACAAGAGGAAGAATGCTTCAAGGTTATTATTTTTCGATTCTGGTGAGCATTTAAAGTTCATTCTTAACTGAAAATCCATTAACAATTCACTAAAATTTCACAGCTGTCGTTGTTGCTGCTTATTTGCATGTACGAGGCCAAATCTACAGCTGATAGATGTGATTACAATCAAGAACGTAAAGGAAGTGAATGCATCGACATTTGTTATACAATGAAGGCTTGCGGTGAGAATACAACATGCTATACAGTAGGTTTCACTACTTATTGCTTGTGCATGAAAGGATTCACTGGAGATCCACAACTTGGATGCTTCAAAATGGACGAAAATTCTCCATGCTCACCAGACCCATGTGGACAGAACTCTGAATGTATTGAGTCTGACCTTGAAGTTGGACCACATTGTAAATGCAAGTCAGGATTTTATGACTGGCCACCAAAATGTCGTACTGGTTGTGCATCAGATGCTGAGTGTGGACAGACTGAAGTTTGTGATCAAAGTAATTTATGTGTGGAACTATGTGAGTCATGGAGATGTGGTGCCAATTCAGTCTGTCGTGTCGACAAGAAGACAAGGACAATGCATTGTTCATGTATGGATGGTTACATCCCTCAAACAGAAGTTGGGTGTAGACTAAAAACCGAGGAGGATCAAGACATATCCATTGAGTCATTCTCTGAAATTCTCACAGACAAATGTGGTGGAAATTGTGGAGAAAATGCTTATTGTGGATCAGATAACAAGTGTGTCTGTACTGCTGGATACACAGGAGATCCAAACCATCAATGTAGTCCAATCAGCACAACATTTAATGGCACATGCAATCCAAATCCATGTGGAGGCTATTCAACCTGCAAAATTGTCGACAAAAAACCAAAATGTTCATGTGTAAAAGGCTATGGAACTCCGCCAAGCTGTGGAAAATGCAGCACTAATTCTGATTGTGAATCATCTGATGTATGTACCGCGGATGGACGATGTGTATTTAATGCCTGTAAACCTTATTGTGGGGAAAATGCTGGTTGTAATATTTTTGAAGGGAAATTAGAGTGTTTGTGTCCTGTACAAGCTGTTAATAATTATAGCTTGCCATTTGTTGTATGTCCTGATGTTATTGATTTTGTGTCGGCAGCAACGATTGCTGTTTTGTCTGGATAATGTTGAGATTTGTTCATTTTTTAATGTTGTTTCGGTTGTGAAGTGAGTTTCTTGATTTTTGATATAAGTTGATGCTTCCTGAACTGTCTTTAAGTGCCTAAAATTTCAGTTTTGTCTCTAAACATGTTTGTTGCTGTTACAGGAACCTCAAGCTGCCAAAAAAGTAGCAAGGGTTAAAAATGCAACTTTTTGATTAACAACCCTATAAAAACTAATTTCAGACACACCAGCAATTTAATTAGACATATAATCACTTATTTTCCAAATATATCCACATCTGGACATTCTCATTCCCATCAATTTTATTTCCTTCAACAATTTAATTTATTCTAAGAATATTTATTATTAAACAAAACTATCAAATTCCAAATAAAAAGCACCCCACAAAAGGAGAATTTCCCAACAAAAAAAAAAACTTTTAATTCCTTTTGATTACAGACTTCATTACAATTCAGCTATTCATGAAATTATTCTCATTCAATAATTCATATCTCGTACATAATAAATAAAAGGAAACAATTTTAATGAATTTATTCACAGAAACTCGCATGTCTTTTATTACAATTTTCATAAATATAAACACAAATTCACATATTTTCAGATTTCAAGGAAGACAATTAAATTCTCTTTCTGTGCTGAATATGATACTTCATTTTAATTGTATAAATTTTTCATTATTAACTTCGTAGAGAGTCCTTGGGGGTTGTTTGTGAATGATGTGTCTTCCTGTGTGAAGGATTTCGTAGTGTTCTACTGTTCCACATATTACTAGGTTGGACTAGTGTTCTACTGCCACATATTAGAAGGTTGGACTAGTGTTCTACAGCAACATATGAGTACGTTTGACTGGTGTTCTACTGCAACAGATTAGTAGGTTGGACTAGTGTTCTACTGCCACATATTAGTAGGTTGGACTAGTGTTCTACTGCCACATATTAGTAGGTTGGACTAGTGCTCTATTGCCACATATTAGAAGGTTGGACTAGTGTTCTACTGCTACATATTAGTAGGTTGGACTAGTGTTCTACTGCCACATATTAGTAGGTTGGACTAGTGTTCTACTGCCACATACTAGTAGGTTGGACTAGTGTTCTACTGCCACAAATTAGTAGATTTGAGTGCTACATACTAAGAGGTTGGACTAGTGTTCTATTTTAACATCCTAGTAGGTTGTAGCAGGTTGTATTAGTAAGATATGACAATTAAACTGACACGATTCCAAATAAAACTTAAACATCACTTCAGCACAACTCCCCAGCATATCCACATTAATATATCCACAGCATGTGAGTAACATAATGTTCAACGATATACATGAGAATATTTATGCTGGCATGTAACTTTCTTAGGGAGGCCACACAGTAAAAGTTGGAATTATTCCAATTGAAAGGAATGCAAGGATTGTAAGTATTAATATGTACATGAAAAGGGAAAGAGCATTAATAGAGGGATTTAAATGCCCTTTGTAATAAACATACAAAACAACAAAAACAGGATATTAAAATATCATTAGACGAAAGAAGAAAAAAAAAACCCTCGGAATCATAAATACATGGCATTAAGCTTCTCAATTTTTTTGTTACTCGACTGTGTAATGAAATGAATTAAAAAAAAGGGGGAAATGTGAATGGCATAAGTCCCTTATTTTCATCCCTTTCCTTATTTTATTTCAATTGCCGTAATTCATGAATTTTTATATCACTTTTCTTTTTGTTGGTTCCTTTCTTCTGTTTTCGTATTTAAATGAGGAGAGATAAAAATAGAAAGAATGGAAAATTATTCGCACTTATGACTCTAAAATTCAGTTTTATGTGAAAATATTGAAATTTTTTATGACATAATCAAAAAATAAATTCTTTTGAGTTTAAGTGATGAAATTTTATTAGGAAGTCAGCTGCTGTATTTGATGAGATGTGTTTATTGATCCATTGGGATATGCATATGAGTATATTTTATGTTTCTTGAGGCTAGGGAGTATGATTAGAGCTGGAAAGAGGATGGGGATATCAAAATGAAATGACTTCAACGTTGTAGCTATTTTTACTCGAAGTTATAGAGGGTTTGAAAGTTCGAGTAGGAACAAGGGTAGCTAGTGTAGACAAGTGTCTAAAATCTAGAACGAAGAGGAGTAGAGCACTTAAATAGACCTTCAGGAGTGTGTTGTCTGAGCAGAGCGGAATATGTTGTATCGAGCCATATATAGGCGAATCAGCCAGAGCAACAGTCTGAACTCTGTAGCTGAGTTGTTAAAAAACAGACCAGATATCTGCAACCATCTATTGTGAGGACGTGGGTTCGATTCCTATTAAATACCGATCTCTTAATCTATTAAAAGAAATGTTGTCAATATGACAAAGATTCGAACAGTGCTCATGCTATTACAATTAGCCAACTTGTAACAAAACTCCTTCTAGTTGCCTTAAAAGTAGCACAAAGGCGTTGTCAGTGACCATTTAAGGCAGTGAATTCCGAACTATGTATCGCGACACACTAGTGAGTCGCAAAAAATATTCGAAAAATCTCAGGTACCGTATCCCGTGTACGGTTTCGGTCAAAACTTACCATCAAGGTGTCACCGAAAAGTTCGGAAACACTGGTTTAGGGTGCGAAGAGTGAACAATTAAAAGTGGGTTTGTTTACAAAAAATATTCATATATTTAAGGTTGACTTTAAAAAACACCTTTCAGTCGCTCTTGTAACCTTAGTAAGTCTCATAAAATCCAACTCAATTTAATTTCTATCGAACAATTTTCAATAGCATTCATAACTTCAAATCTTATCATGAACATTTCCATTCACACGCCACCTATAAAAAAATTTAAAAATCTCTTCCGTCTGCTTCAATTCCGATAATATTTTATAGATTCGTTTTTTCTCTCTCGTTCAACTGAAAGGAAAGAATGAAAAATAAAAAAAAATATCAAAAAGAATCTTTAATTGAATTAAACTTACAATTCACGACATTTTTTATTTTCATTCTGTACTTTTTTTTATTATTCAATTTTCTTATTCGCTTACCAAACAAATTTTAATTGGCAAACATGCTTACGGTTGCACTCAATGCTATCACGAGCGAGGAAGCAAAAGAATGAAGAGAAATAATATAATGTATGTACGGATGCAATGAGGGAATGGGGAATTCGTGGATGGGACGATTGTTGTGAGCGCATTTTTTGGTAAATTTTACAATTTTTAACTAGCTTGTCATGTCGGTTTTAATGATCATCAAACGTCGAATGAAAATTAGATAGGCTCTATCTATCCAGAGCCCTAGCAACAGTTAAGTCAAACGTTGATTTTATGAGATTTTACTTACAATCTCTTCAATGACCCCCCCTCAATATACACAACGTGCATGCTCTTTAAAGAAAACCTAATAAAGAAGCCACTCTACCTTCATCGCGTTGTATAAAAATCTTTTTTTCTTTCTTCCTCCTTTGCCTTTATTTTATATGTTTTCGAAATGTATAATTCGTATAATTTATTACGATTGTTTAAAAGTTGTAAAAAAGGCAAAAATTCCACCCACATTTTTATTTTATTTTTCTTTTTGTGGCTTTTTCTATAGAAAAAAATTTAAAGAATATTTTTTTACATGCACAAAAGAAAAGAGAAGAAAAAAATACACAGAAATATAAAACGAAATTAAGGAAACGTGAAAATGTTGAAAACAATAAAAAGCATTAACGCTTTTTAGAAGAAAGGAAAAAAAAAATGTTTGAGTTGTAAATTTTTTTACGACAGCTCTCGACATGAATTAATGATTAAACTATATACAATACATATCTGTGCTATGCTCGCTGTTGTGAAATGAGAATCGATTAAAGATTGATAAGAAGAAGGTTGATTTTCGAATGAAAAGATTGGAATACAAAGAAATTCAATTAAGAGGGATTGGATGGAATAATTGATGGGTTCTTGGTGGTTAAGACGAAGTTTATAATTTTTTGAAATTATTTTGAATTTATAAAATTATTTTGAATTTTTTAAAATTATTTTGAATGCTTTAAAATTATTTTGAATTATTTAAAATTAATTTGAATTTTTTAAAATTTTTTTGAATTTTTTAAAATTATTTTGAATTTTTTAAAATTATTTTGAACTTTTTAAAATTATTTTAAATTTTTTAAAATTATTTTGAATTTTTTAAAACTATTTTGAACTTTTAAAAATTATTTTGAATTTTTTAGATTTATTTTGAATTTTTTAAAATTATTTTGAAATTATAAAAATTATTTTAAATTTATAAAAATTGATTTGAATTTTTTTAATTTATATTGAATTTTTTAAAATTATTTTAAATTTATTAAAATTATTTTGAACTTTTTAAAATTATTTTGAAATCATGAATATTATTTTAGAATTATAAAAATTGATTTGAATTTTTTAAAATTATTTTAATTTTTTTCAAAACTTTCTTGAATTCAATAATTTTTTGAATTATTTTAAAGGTTGTTTTTCAAAACCCAAACAGCATAAAAATTGCAATCCGTTCAACATATCTTTTGAACCTTTTTAAAAATCCACACCTTCTCTTTCATCAATAATTCTCCTTCATCAATTCCTCGATATCATCTATCTCGACTCTCAATGTCTCTATTTAAATACAATCTCAAGTACAGACACTTTAAGCTGTCAAAGAAATCTATTAGGAAATATATAAAAGAATATAAAGAAGTGAGAGATGTTCGATATATTCAATCAAAATCAAAATCAGCGAACATTTGACACAAATCGAATACGTAAAGAGAGAGAGGCATTGACGATGTGCGGAAAAAGAGGAGGAAGAGAACTAAAAAATGCATTAAAGCGACTCTTTTGTGCCGTTTGCAAAAATAAAGAAAAAATAACAAAATCGATAAATATTGAATGAGAAGTGAGGAAGAAGAAGGAATGAATGAGTCTAGAAGAATATAAAAAAATTGTTTTCTTTAATCTTCAATCAATAACTCAATGTTCAACACAAGTTCGAATAGAAAAATAACAAAAAAATGTGAAGA